AAAAAAAAAAAAAAAAAGAGATCATGTTACAATTATTTTTATAATGTTTGGAAAAAATCATTTGTATGTGAAATCACAATGTATGTATGTCTATTATAAATTAGGCAACCCATATAGTTTGTTGCAAATCTGAACTAAGAGGAATGAATAAACATGTATCTTCCTATATATACTAGCGCACAAAAAATAATACAAAATGTATTTGTCAATACAAATATGACACAATTACATATTGTGTTATTTATAACTTTAATAGATGTAATACGATTTTTTATAAATATTATACCAACGTTTATTCTACAAAATATCTATTACTAAATAATAGCAATAAGAAAAAAAAATACAAAAATATCATTACAATTTCCCGCTCAAATTTTCATCTTTTACTAATAATGAAAATGTTATTTGAAATTTTTTTATTCTCCCGCCCATCACATGTTTCAAATTCAAAATTAATTCCACAAATTCACTACATATTTGTTTAAAATCCTAAATCAGTATATCCGGTTAAAGCCATAAATTTCTTATATATGTTTGGAGATTTTTGTATTTTAAAAAATGTAAAATGAAATATATATTACATATTTTATATATATCCGGTCAAAAAATACAAATTGCAAAAACTATATAATAACTGATTCAACAAAATCTTAGAATTCTTAATCATCATTTTTTTTTTTGAAATGACGATTTGCAAATTAAAGAAAATGAAACAAATTTACCTTGTAAGAATTCTATCTATTGTTAACAATCTAATCTCTTTTTTATCTAACAACTTATTTAAATAATTTCAAAATATTAAAACTCTTAATCATCAAATTATTATTTTTTTAAATTATTATTTCAGATTAAAGAAATTCTTATTACATGTACAATAAATAAAAAAAAAAAAATATTTGAAAAAAAAACGGTTTACACTATATTTAGAAATATATTGTCCTTACTTATTATGTCAACTTAATTTATCTCAACAACTTATTTTAGAAAATATTTGTCAATCAATTTATATAATATAAAAAAATTCCAAAAACATGAGGAACTCTTAAAAATTTAATCTTCTTATTTATCTTGCAACTTACTTAAGAAACTACAAGTTTTTCCAATAATAAAAATCCTAATTATCGAGTACTACGAATTTGTCAATCAATTTTGAAACTTTAATAATATCTTCATAGATCACTGCGAATTTAAAGATTACATTAACAAGAATTCTATTTGTTTTAAGGTCACATTATTTTTTTTGAATAATATTAAATTAATCGATTACTATTAAATTAGTTCTATTTGATTTTCACCCTTAAAATTTTCAAAATTACCATATTTTGTTTTTTGGAAAATGATGGTTGGATGAAAATTGAGTTCAATTTTTTTTTTAATAAATGTTATTTTGAAAAAAAAAAAAGATATCGTATAAACCTTAATTCATAAAAATATGGTGAATGATTAATTTTTTTTAATACAACGGGTAAATCTGGCCAATAATGAGAAAAATTATTGAAAATATTACTTCTAAAAAGTTTGATAAATTATTTTTTTTTTTTTTAATTTTTCGGTCAAACATGAATATTTCGTTATAAAAATCCGATCAACCATTTAACGAATAAAACGTTTGATATTTTAAAAAACTTTCGAAAAATCATGTCAACTTAATTGTTAAATATTGTTTTATCAATATTTATCTATCTACAAATCTCATATTTTATGGTCACAACATACTTTATGATCACAACTAAAAATTCGCATTTACTTAATAAGCAATGTTAATTTCATAAATTATTTTTTATATTCAGATAGGTCAACTTAATTGGTGATTTGTTGTTCATATTTATTTAACTACAAAATATTTTAAAGTTAGAAAAATCTCATATTATGTGGGTTTTGGGTACATTCTTTTTGTACATATTCGTTTTTCATCTTATATCCAAATTAATTTTAATGCGAATCTTAAATATATCATGTTTACTATATACACACACACACACACACACACACACACACACACACACACACACTAGTATTCGATCAAAGTGCACATGCACATATACAAATAAATTTTTTTATGTTATATGTATATGTATGTTATATTTAAAATTATAAGTTAGATAATAGCATATCACATTTTATAAATTTTATCATTGGTAAAAATAAACAATAAACTATTAAATAACATATTAATCTTTATACGAGTTGCAGTTATATAATTTTTGCAATTTTTTTTTATTATGAACAATTGATTAGATAAAACAATATTGAAATTATTATATATATAGCAATTGTGTACGGAATTTTAAAATTTTTGGTTATATAAAAAAAAAAAAGCAATCTCAATTAAAAAACTTGCTTAATGAATTAAAACAAAAAATAAATAATAATTTAAATAAATACTTTGAAAAAAATAAATTATAATATCATTTAATGTGACTTTATGATTTGTTAGTAGTAATTATTAGATAATAAAATACGTAAAAACTATAAATACTTAATTAATGCAAAGTAACATCTTTTAGAGGGAAAAGTTCTAAGGTTTTATTAAATGTTTGGCTAGTAATTATATATACTAGTTTTTTACTCGTGCATTTGCACCAAAAGCTATATGATAAAGGAAAAAAATAAAAATAAAAAGAAAACAATAGTAAAAATAATAACATGATCATTGAGAACTCGGGTTCAGCAACAAAATCTAAATCTAAATATTATTAAACACTTTTTTATATACAACATTCGTGGTTTTCCTATCGTCAAAATCTCCTTCACCACAGATCATTATCTTTAGACCCCTCTGATTCGTGATTCTAGATAGTGCCACATACAACTGTCCATGACTGAATACATGGTTCTTCAATAGTAAGCCGTCGTGTGACAATGACTGACCTTGACTCTTGTTGATAGTCATAGCATATAAAACCATGAGCGAAAATTGTCTGCGTTGAAATTTGAACGGTACCCTCAAATCGGATGGTATAATTGTGAGCCTAGGAATAAGAACCTTGTCACCAGATTTGGCACCAGTTAAAATCTTGCATTTGAGGACATGGCTGCTGAGGTTGGTGATAAGCAACCGTGTACCTGTTGACATCAAAACTCGAAAACAAAAGCAGATCACTTAAATTTGTACAAAGATAAAAGGAAGTATAGATGACAAAAGAATTTTAATGAACAATACCGTTACATAACCCCATGGAGTGATCAATGTTTCTGAGAAGCATCACTGGAGTGCCGACCTTAAGGTGCATTTTATGATTCGGAAGTCCAGAGCACTTGATCCCATTGAGAAATTCAGGAGTGTGAAGATTCTGAAGAGAATCATATCCAGCATCTGACTTGCACGCAGTGTCCGAACTCAAATAAGTCCTTCCCTCAGATGAGTTCATCGAGCTCATGTACTCGTTAACGGACTCAACCACATCTAGTGTGGGAGCGAGTATGGCTTTGTCCTTAAGATAACTAAGATCGTCACCTACACTCCTAAACATCGGGTAGGTACTCTCAACAATAGTACTAATAGGATCCCCTTGTGAGTGTAGAAGAATATTGTCAGGGATATCGATATCGGCACATTCGTCATTTGATACACCGACTGTACCGTCGGCGATGTTTGCAAGCGACTCAGAGAAGTGCCTCAACTCATCGGACTCATCACCCCCATCAAGGCTTCGAAGCCTCATATTCCGTGTCAGTCTCAGAACGATACAATCGCGCTACAACTTGGATGAATTGATGGTGGCGTTAACTATGTCGCTTTGGCTGCCTTTAGGGATAACGGAGAGTATCTGTCTGAAATCCCCACCTAACAAGACACACTTGCCGCCAAATGGGAGATTTTTCCTCGATGGATCAACTGCTTCCATTAAGGCACGCAAGGTGTGTCAACTGTCTGGAAGCAATATTTGTTCATCATTGGAGCTTCATCCCAAATGATCAACCGACATCGTATGATGAGTTCGGCCAAAGGACTCTGCTGGCTAATATCACATGTAGAGCCTTCCACTGGGTTTAGTGGAATTCTAAATTGTGAATGCGCAGTTTGTTCGCCGGGCAACAAAAGTGATGCGATACCGCTCGATGTAGCGTTCAACACAATATCACATTTGGATCTTAAAGCAGAAGACAACGCCCTCCAGACATTGTTTTACCAGTGCCGCCGTAACCATAAACCAAAAACATGTTAGAGGTATGTTGTAAAAGCTATGTTTTGCAGATTCTATTAATTCCATTTAGATCTGGCCATCATGTTTCGGTCAAAGTACATATGCTTGCAGTGTATTTATTTATGCAATCATACTCCCTGTCTTACATTGAGATAGAGTGGTTCGAAGTGTTTCAAA